GCCTGGAGAAGAGGAGGCTGAGGGGAGCCCTCATCGCTCTCTGCAACTGCCTGAAAGGAGGCTGGAGCTGGGGGGTCGGTCTCTTCTCCGCAGTAAACAAGTGATAGGAGGAGAGGGAACGGCCTCCAGCTGCGCCAGGGCAGGGTTAGGTTGGGTATTAGGAAAAATTCCTTCACGGAAAGGGCTGTCAGGCCCTGGCCCAGGCTGCCCAGGGCAGGGGCTGAGTCTCCATCCCTGGAGGGATTTAAAAGAAGGGCAGACGTGGTGCTCGAAGACATGGTTTAGTGGTGGACTTGGATAGGTTAACGGTTGGACTCGATGATCTTAAGGGTCTTTTCCAATCTTTATGATTCTATGTGGGGTGTTACCGGGCTATACTTGTGTGGGCGCAATACGTTTGTCTCTGTGTGTGCGAGCACACACGTGTGTGCACATGTGTATGCCTGCACATGTGTATGTGTATGTCGACATGCATGTGTGCATGCATGGATGGACAAGTGAGTTTGCATGTGCACCCGTGGGAGGTGCATTCTACATGTGCGTGCATCATGGGTGTATGCAGTGAGCATGCATGTGGGCAGATGGGTGGATGCACACTGTGTGCATGCATGCGGTGTGTGTGGGGGGGTGCATTCCACATGCATGCATACTGTAGGGTGTGCATGCACTGCCTGTGTGTGTAAACTGTGTGTGTGCATGCACACACTGTCTGTGTGCACACGCCAGCCAGGTATGCCTATGCATGCACTCTGTGTATGTGAACACTGTGCATTGCGCTCTGTGTTCAAGACGTGTGGTTTGGAGTACGGGTGTGCACACACTGTGGGTGTGCATTGCACCTTCTGTTTGTACCCCATGTGTCTCCACTGTGTGTGTGCGTGTGCGTGTGTGTGCACATGCACCCTGCGCGTGAATGCAGTGTATGTGTGCACACAGCATTTTTGTGCATGCGCTCTGTGCGTGCTGTGCGTCTGTGCGTGCGTGCGCGTGTGTGCGTGCACGTTCTGCGCACGCCATATCCAGCCCATGTTCCTCCCAGAGAACATCTTCTCGCAGAAGAGCTGGAGCTGAATCGGGAGGACTCTCGCTCCCAGGAGGTTTCTCCCATCTCAGCCCAATGGATGCGACTGCTGTTCCCATGCACAGGTACCAGAGACTTTGTCTTCCAAAGAGCCAGATCCCATTCAAGACCACGCGCACACACCTCACTGGCATGAATGGCAAAACAGATTAACACGGATAGAGCAGTCCCTTTACCAGCACCCGCTTAACACAAACAGCACAACCCAGTCCTTGTCTGCCTCTCCAGCTGATCGGTACGGATGTTCAGCAGTGAAAGGTACACACCCATCGCTCCGAGATCCGCAAGCACAGCATGCTCACGGGGCCCTTAAACATTAGCGTGGGAATTAAGTTCAGTTAAAATCCGTGGCTGGCCGTCAAGCTACTTACCCAGTAACTGGCACAGACCTGGGGTCTTTCCAGCTCGGTATCTCCTTTTGCTCGTGAGCTAGTCCAGCTTCAAGTTCACTAGCCAACGGCACGCGCCCACAGCGCTCCCACCAGCAGCTGCCCCCAGACACTCGGTGTTTCCAGCTGCTGGGTCCCTATGGCCTGTGTTCCCTTCTGCCGTTGCTGGCAGCCAGGCCTCTGGAGCCACCTCCCCACCGGGCACAGAGGGGGCCACACAGAAGAGGACTTGGAATCGCTCTCAAAAAGAAGGTAGGAAGGGCCGTGGTGATGAGGTGCAGGGCTCCGTCAAACAAGCAAACCACCCAGCAGTTTGCTTATGTGTGACTGGCTCCTTGATCCCCCCTTGTCTCCGTTTTCCATGCTTGTACACCCCCCCCCTCTCCCTTGACGCCTCCCTTTCTCTGCCCTTGTCTCCACCCAAACAAGGGACCTTCCCCGGGTTATTTGTTCCCCCTTGCTCCCAGGTTTGCCCCATCTGTGAACAGAGCTGGTGTTTCAGGTGCCGTTAGCTGGGTCATCTTGGCCTTCCGTGGCGTGACTGATGCGGTTTCCTGGGTACTGCTGTCCCTGCCAGATTCCTCTCCCGAAATGACCCCAACTCTTCCTTCAGTGATCTGTGAAGTGTGGCCACCTCTCACATCAGTCCCCTGTAACTACCCATGAACCTGTCTCTTCCTCATGGCACTCTAACTCCTGCCCGCTTCTCACTCTGTTTACTATCGACAGCAAGCCTTCTCCTGTCTGCTCTAAGCAGATACGGGGCACCACCTTCAGGTCCATTTTCAAAAAAACAAAGCAGCCTTGAGTCCAGTTTGTTTGGGGCCCCGTTCTGGTGCCTGTGAAACCATGCGACGCCTCAAGGGCCTTGAGAGCAGCTGTTCCACTTTCAGACAGAGCTGCCCTGTCATCCTAGGGACGAGGTTGCGCACTCAGCTGTGTGCCTTAGGTCTAGCCCCACGAGCAGGGACAGGAGCTGGACTCGATAATCCTTGTGGGTCCCTTTGAACTCAGGACGTTCTGTGATTCTAAGCC